CTGGCAGGGCGCTGCTTTAGGCTGCAGCCTTGCCTGTGGGGCTAAGTCCTTCAAAGCCATGCCCCAGACCCCCAGTTGGACCAGTTTGGCTGGGATACAGGGAACTAACACAGGGAGAGAGACTCCTGTCCTCGCCCCCAGCTTYGCCAAACCCTTGTGCAAAGGGCTCAGAAGCATCACAGCGTTCRGCTTTACCCTGGGCTTGCAAAGGTGTTAAAGCCGGGCCTGTGGCCAGGCCAGGGGCAGGGCAGCAGGCCTTGCCTCACTGAGGCGCCATGTTGCGGCGGCGGCCCCACAAGGAGTGCGGCCTGGCCCCACGGCGCGTGGGCCCCGCCACACTCAGCGCCCCACGGCCGAGAGCCCCTGAGGGGCAGGAGTCACCGCTGCCCTGATAAGGCTGGACCCAGGCCCTGTGCCCGGCCTTGCTCCAACAGCGCCATGGCCGCGGCGGCAAAGCCCAGCGCCACGCGGCCGGGCAGAGCGCTCCCTCTGCTCGCTCAGAGATGTCTGCCGAGCTGTGTCCAGAAGCACTTTGAAGCTGAGAAACCTCCCTTCTCTCTTGGATACGCTGGAGCACTTAATAAATAACTGTAATTAAGTGTGAGGTGGTAGCTTAAGAGCTCATTCCCAGAAGTTAACATCAAAACACTTGCTCTTAGCACTTAGGGAAACAATATAAAAGCAGGCTCCTTGCGCAGATGAAAGCAGGGTTGTTGGGAAGCACTGAGGAGCCCTGGAAACAGGTATGCTGGTTCTTCAGAGGAGGAAAAGATCTCGGGATGGCACAAACTGCTTATGGAGTAGAAGTGCTTTTTCATGAATGGTCCTCCTTTTGGGGAGAGCGTTAAAACAAGGGGGAAACGTAATCAAAAACAGGCTTATACCCTTTCTTAGGCTCTTCTGCAGCTTCCCGTAACCCACCAGTCCCAAGAGATTGTATCACTGCTTCATGCCCTGGAGCAGCCAGACTCCTCCATGCAGCCTGGGGGCTGCCCCACACCTCCGGGGCTTTGACTTGCCCAGTCCCCAGAGCGGGAAGCTACAGTGCTGCTAGGACAAGGGAATTACCATACATTTCATTGTAGGTGAACTCTGAAGGATTTTGAAAGAGGGGTGCAAGAAGAAGGAGACACGTCAGGGTAATTCTTCCKTCTGATCTATCAACTGTTGCGCCTCTAAGGAGGTGTCATGGTGCGACCGATAGAAAGGGAAAGGGAGTTGGAAGGTGAGAAGTGTTAACGTTGAGCTCTGCCAAAGGGCTAAGTCTAGGTCTCTACTGAGCACCCTTGATGCCGGCTCCTGCACGCAATCCATAAGCAGCATTCCCAGCTCTCAGTTTCACTCTACTAATTGCTACAGAACTGCAGGAGCTGAGTGCAGGCAGCCGGAGTCTCATTTGCCTTACAATGATCCTCTCCTGCCCTGGAACCTGGGTTGGTCTTAATTTGTCTATGGCTCAGGCAAGAATGGACTAGGCAGACATACATGTTATCTCTTGTTTTTTTGGAAGCAGAGAGCGTATTGCACAACGAAGCTTGGTCTGTACGTGGATTAAAAATGTATGTGTCTGGGGCACTGGGAGCCAGGCTAGCCTGTGTTACTTTGATTAAAAATAAATAAATAATTAAAAAGACTCTTTTTTTAAAGCGAGAAAACTCTTTAAACTTAAAAAAAAAGTTTTTAAACTTTTTTAAGAGAGAAAAAAGAAGTATTAAAATGGTCTGACACCAGAATTAAAAGTATCCATGGTGCTGTTTACTTTCCTCATTTTTCCTGTTCACTTTTGTACATGTGGCACTGTCTTAGTATGAGAKTTTATGCTTCCAGGTTGGAAGCAACTCTAGCAACATTAATGTAAATACAGTGTAAAACTTGCCTACTTTGCTGACGCATCCAAAGGCTGTGGGGTCAGGTGCTTGTTGAGGGAAAGAGGGTGCAGATCCAGCCATAGGAGTTCACTGACTGACACTAAGCGAGGGTTTGGCCTCAGGTGTGTTTTCAACTTCCTACACTTCTCACAGAGCTTTTAACTTGAGGATTTACAAGTGTCAACTAATTGCCTCCACATTAACCGTAGCCGAATACTAAAACAGCACTTGAATGTCGTTTCAAGCGAGTCGTTCCCAGACAAGGTCCAATGCAAATTTGGCAGGACGTGGTAGATGTGCCACAAAGTCGTGCTGGAATGATGTTCAAAAACACCACTTGAAATGTTTTCACTGGAGCTGGAGTGTGAGGAAAGCAGATATTTGGGGTTTAAGAAGATTACGAAAAACAATTCTAGGAGTAAGGACAGGAAACCTGAGCTCCCTACTAGCAAAATGCCCTGGAACTAAAGCTACAATGTCTTTTATCCCCCACACCCCGGTCTGTTTTCTGGTCATCCTTCTGCACCGATTAACCTTGGCATTTCTTGCTGCACAGTAGCTCCATTTCGACAAGACCACCAGCTTGATTTAAACCGTGAGTGACCCCAGGGTTTATTACCCCCAATTAGAGCAGTCGTTCACATAATCTGGTACACGCCGGGGCTGTTCGTAGCCAGGACCTGAGCAGAGGTGAGTGACCAGAAATAAAAACCTTTCGTTAAGGTTATTTTTATTACAACGTGTGTTTTCCCTTCTCTGTTCGTCTCTTAACAACTGCAGGCTAATTCCTCATGCATCTTGAACTAATTCTTTTCCCAGCAGAACCAAGCATGTGCAGATCATCTGTTTGACGTACGCTCAAAGGGGGGAACAGCGTCACGCTCGCACTGTGCCTATTAAAGCCGCTCTTCCCCTCCCCAGCCCCTCTCTCCTAATGCGATGCAAATTGGAGGCACAGGTTTATTTTTACAGCCGTGGCCCATCCTCCCCCCAAGTCAGACGCGGCACGAAATAGGCCAGCTCATTTGGATCCAGGATTTCAATTGCCTGGAAAATGAAGGTGCTGAACACCCCGCAGCAGCAGCAGGAGTCTTGCTCCCGGGCGCCCGGCTTGCAGCGCTGCTGCTTTTCAGGTTTCCCCCAAAGCTCTGGGGCTCTCATCAGAGCCGCCTTTTCCTCCGCAAGGATGACAGTGGGAGCCCATTGCTCCGCGAGGAGCTCCTGTGGGAGAAGAGCTCATCCATGAGAGGGCTCAGCTGGGGTGGTGCAGCTTGAACCGGGATGACTTCTTCCCCAGAGCAAGCGGAGAAGACGCTAAGTGCTGGATGCATCCTCGGGGGAGGGGGGAAAGCATGAAAAATAAACATCGCACTTTTAACAGCAACATTTTAACTCRTGTAAACTGGTGTAATTGCTGCCTTCGCTGCTGCTCACATCTGCCCCTGTTCTTGGCTGGGGCAGATGTGCCCCGCATGCTCCTGTCCCCATCCCGCCCGGTCCCAGCTGGAAGGGGCTCGTCCTGCTCCCTGGCCCTCGAGTTTCGGCCGTGAATCCTCCTCGCTCGCTCACCTGCCGCCACCGGCGTGACCGGCTGCGGCCCTGCAGCCAGCAGGACAGGGGGACGCGCTAAGGGAAACGGGAGCAAGTAAACCAGCAGATAAAAGGAGGGAATAAAAGCGGTCCAAATCGCCGCGCACTCGGCCCGGCGCGGCGCCCAGCCGGGCTCCCCGCTCAGCGCCGGGCTCCGCTCCGGTCCCGCCGCGCCGGGCCAGCAGGTCACCCCGGCGGGGTGGGGCACGACACGGGCCGTGCGCCGCAGGGCTGCCCTGCTCGTGGACCGTCCCTGTCACTGCCGCTGTTGCTGCTGCTGCTGCTCCTGTTGCTGCCCCTCACCGCGCGCTCCGTCCCCCCGCCCCGTCCCAGGCGGGCAGCAGCCTCGAACCCGCGCTCCTCCGGGCGCCTTCCCCTTTAAGCGCACGCGGAGCGGCTCCGGCGGCGCAGGGAATCCCTCTCGCAGCGACGTCACCAGCGGCGAGGAAACCCGTAGTGCGACGCAAATGACCATTTTTGGCAACG